TTCGAAAGGTTTCATTCGCGATAAAGCAAAGAAGGGGCGCGATAGGCTGAGCTGCTGAAGTGACAACTGGGTTGGTCTTTTGTGAAGTTCTTCAGAGCTCTGAGGAGTGAGAGTGAGCACATACAGTAGTGTACAGTATGCTTATTATGCTTCTGGTGTGTTTACGCAAACTGAGAACAGAGCAATGTAAAGGGTATGCTGACCTTTCAACTGCCTTTACGGCGTGGCTTGAGGCAAAACGGAAGAATGAATGTGTCCTCTTTTGTCTTTCCGAGTAAATTTAAAAAGACAGCCTCGCATCACTCATGTTGGGGTGGGGGGTGACTAGAGGAGTTCCTCTTTTCATAAAAGTGTATATAGACTCATTTGGTCTGTATGATGATAAATATAGTACGTGAGTGAGTGTGACAGTGGGTCAGAGTGAAAGAGTGAGAGATGCTTCTTTTTCTTTTTTACAAGTATGTGCTTCTCTCTGCTGCAGGTGGGCAAAAACCTACAAATAAGAATACAGATGCAAAGGTTGGAAAAGATCACATGAACCTGACACATGAAGTCTAGTTAAAGAAAGAAACAAGGGACGAGGCAGAGAAACGTGGCAAAAAGAGCTTACGGTATAAAAAAAGGGTACTGACTAACAACAGGAGATTAACCCTTTCAGCAGCAGTCAGACACAAAGTGAGACAAGCGCTGAATCCGAACACCGGGTTTCATTTTTCACTTTCAGTACACACATCCTTCACTCTTTATCTTACAGCCGGGAGGCCAAGCAGGAGCTGACTTTACGTTTTTTAGCTCAGCTTTTGCCCCCTTTTTTTTTTTTTTTTTTTTGAAAAATGAAGGTGTATCCCATTTAAAGCAGCGATCACGCTTTTGCCAGCTTTGCATTTGGAGGTAGATGGTTATCAGCTCGATGAGGTAATGGAGGGGATGTTTTTACACAAGGAGGGGTAGAATTTAAGGGGCAAAGAGGGTCACTGTTTGCAGTGTCAATATTTACAGTGACACACACAGAGGAGGAGCACTGACTATGGCAAACTGTCTCTGTGTGTGTGTTTGTGTGTGAGAGAGAGAAAGAGAGGGAAACACTCAGAGGGAAATACCAGCATGAATGGGTGCCTGATGTCATGCTCTAGTGAGCAGATCATGTCAGAAACACAGCCTCTATCAGCATGTCACCCAGGCCCGGGCCACTCTGGAGTGTGGCGTTGGATAAAGATAAAGTTTAGAGAAGTGAGCCAGGACGGTGTAGTGTGACTGGCACTGGCTGACCAGTGGACTCTGTGTGTGCGCTTGTTTTGCTTTGCAAATTTCAGATATGCAAATAAGGAGAACACAGGTCGCCTGTAGCACCTCTCTGCTGCTCATTACTCTTGGTACATTTCCGTCCTTTCCCCTGTTGTTCCAGCCCATATTTACAGCACTCTCTTTACTCTTCCATTTTGAATACTAAACCCCCCGCATTCATTTTCTTAAGGCTTGTTCTCCCTCCTCACACTTTGCATAGCTCACGTCCTCCCAGCTCCCGCTCCCTCGTTTTTCTATTGTGCGAAATTCACAAGAACATATGCTCAATTATGCAGTAAACACACCACGATATCGCAATTTGGCAATTTTAAAAGTCTAGATTCTTTCATCTTCTGTCTTTGCCCTGCAACTGCAATAAACACGACTCCATGCTGCTTGATTCTGCCCCATCTTTCTTCTTCTATTTATTTATGTTTTACATAAGAGCTCATAACCCCGAGCCATACCTACATCCCATAAATCATCATGTTGGTTGCCTGGTTAACAACTGTAGTCATACTGTAAACAAAACAGCAGACAAAGGTGCCCTCGTGTCATTGAAGACTAATGGCATGGCATCAAAGCCAGTGAAATTGATTTGTCACCACCTAGTGGTCAATTGTACTTATTACAGCTGCTAAAACTCCCATTTAGTCCTCCCGTTTTCTTTCTTTTTAGCAGAGGTGGGACCAAGTCATTGTTTTGCAAGTCTCAAGTAAGTCTCAAGTCTTTATCCTCAAGTCTCAAGTCAAGTCTCAAGTAATGTCAGGCAAGTCAGAGTCGAGTCTCAAGTCACTGGTGTAAAAGTCCGAGTCAAGTCACAAGTCTGAAACTTTGAATTTCAAGTCCTTTCGAGTCTTTAAAAAAAAAAAAACGAAAAAATAATGTTGCAGTTATGCTAAATGTAAACATTAGACCATGTAATTTTAAAATCTGTGTTTTTCTCAACACATGACAAAATAGTGAACTTAGAAAATATACACAAATTGTGAAATTGCACCTCTTTAAAATGCAGCTCAATTAAACCTAGCTCCAAGAATAATTTTCACGGACAGTTCTGAGATAAGCTGCATGTTATTCTTGGATGCGCTTGTAGGACCAGCTTTAAAATTGCATGACAAAAATATCATACACATTAAAAAAAACTGTATCACCAACGTAGCCTGGACAACATTTGCTAGTTAGATGAAGTCAGCTATCTCATCGTAGCATATTTATATGCATATTTATAATCATACGGTTCTTGGAGTGAGCGCATACGATCATGAAGTTTAGTAACTTCAGGTCACTGCAACAAGCCCAGGTACAGTTTACCGACGGATGGGTGCAGGACCTTGAAATGCACCGTGTAGAACGAAAGACCATCGTACGTATCATAAGTTTACCAGTCTCACAAATTGTCGTCATAAATACACATTCGTTAACCGTTTATTAATAGGACCTTTGAGCTCAACGGTAATTAATTAGTAGTGGAAATAATTTCTGGTACCCATCACAGAAATGTAGCAGTGACAATAATATTGTATGCTGTAATCGTACTGGGCAATTAGTGATACAAAAAACCTGTTTTATCCTGTGAATAAAAGTACATGTTTTTGTCAATGTACCATAATAACAGAGGCGAAACACAATATTGTGTCAGGACAATTCACTATTTATGCACAATAAACAAAGGAGCATAGCGCGACAATTTCTGTTCAGCGCCAGACTTGCTTGTAACCTATATCACCAATTATGTTAAGAAAAATGACGCATTAACTACAACAGCAGACTGACCTTTGTGTAAATGCTTGGAGCAGACTAACCTGTGAGCTGGAGTGTTCTGGGACGTTATATTTGATCTTTGAATGGCTGCAATCCAGGCCATCCGTCGCCTCTTTGTTACTTCGGAAACATGGCTTGAACAATTTCTCTTCAGCGACGTAATCCGATAACAACCGATCTCTTTACCTGTCGGCTTCCCGTGGCTGTCATGCGACCGGCTATTGCAGTTAATAATAAAACGGCTTCTTGACATTTTTGTGTTTCTTTTTATCGCTGTATAACTGATTTTAATTGAAAGCCTGCGTGCGCTAGTACCGCTTGCCACGAGTTCCCAGAATCCTTTGCGGTTCTACCCGTGAATGACGTCACATTTTCAATCTCTATATAATTTGCATGTTAAATTTTATATTTGGGGTGAAATATCAAGTCTTTTCAAGTAAACCGGTTCAAGTCCAATTCAAGTCCCAAGTCATTGGTGTAAAAGTCCAAGTCAAGTCACAAGTCTTAGAACATTTTTTCAAGTCAAGTCTAAAGTCATAAAATTAATGACTCGAGTCTGACTCGAGTCCAAGTCATGTGACTCGAGTCCACACCTCTGCTTTTTAGAGCACAAATACAGATACAAAAAAACTGAGACCTCGTATGGTTATTGAAAATCTTTTATTATATTGTTCACGGTGCTCAGAGGGTGGTTGTCAGAACACAAATGTACAGTCGAGCAGTCAGAGGACCCGTCAGACACCCCACCTTTCCATATAGAGACTCTTTTCTTGTTTAGACTGCATGACAGACATAGTGCAAACAGCTCTTTAATTTCCAGTTCCCTCTATTAGTGATACAGGATATCGAGAGCTTTATGTGAAAGGTTTCATTCAAAAAATATTCTGTTTAATTCAGCTGCTGTGCTAATAATTATGCACTGTAGTAATAATAATAGTCCATAAGGTAGCACACAGAAATATGAACAATTAAAACTGAGAAGACTCCTTTTGCAGATGAAGAGCATGCAATAGGAAAAGATCCAGATTTCACAGTCAGAAACTGACCGGGAACTTTAAGCTAAAGTATGAGGAGTACTAGAAGAACTGAAAATGGAGCTTATATATTGAAGTCTTAAGCACTGCGTTCACTTTCTCTAGAAATCATTAAGTTACTGCACTATACGCAATGAAGGACATTTGATTATTGGTGAGATTAAAATCTGTTGCGGCATTAAATTTCTTTGTTATTTGCAAACAGTTAGTCGGTTATTGCTGATTGCAGAATACCCTCAGAGGACGTAAATCAGAGGATTCTGTAACATGTTGTTCTACGAGTATATGCTATGTATAAGGTATAAAAAACAGCTGGGTGCGACTGTTATTTTAGAGAATCAAAATATAAATTCACAGACTTCTTTTTCGTGAGATATATTTATGGTAATGTAGATACTATAATTACTCTGGCATATAGACATACAGTACATATAATAGTAAGTAAAGTCAGTATGGCTCAGTTACCCTGTATCAGTGCTAATTCTGAGAGGTATTTGAATACAAGGCAGTCTGAGGCCTTCTGTCTGGACTGGGTCTACAGTATGGCAGTAACGTGTGACTTCAGAATTCAATACTGTTCAGGTAGCATATTTATATATAAATATAAATACAGGCCATTTACCATATGTTTTTTCACTCGGTATTAATGGTAAAAAACAAAACAGATTTGCTCTCGGCAAAGGGAGCAGAACTCACAAATGAAAACGAGGCTGAATTAGTCGGTAAACTTTCTCTGCTGTCACTACATGCAATCAAACAGGCCAGTGTGCGCCAATGCAGTAATGAAACCTTTTCACAGGTGATAACAGTGACATAGGAGCGCACGCCAAACAACAGTGCGAGTCTGAGCAAAGCCAACAGAGTGCTACAGTGAAGACACGTTAATAATTTACCCATTAATAACCAGAGCTACAGATATGAATACGGCCTTTTTCATACAACTCGGCCAGTGACTTTTAACTTTATTGCACATTAAAACACAGCTAGCGCAGCTTTAGAAAAAAAAAGACATCATAGAAACGTCATTAATCTTACACTTTCTGTGAACATGTCATTACTGGAGCTTTAATTATGCTGTAGAACCATTGTGTACAGAATATACTGCGTGTCGGCTGGGTCGGTGGAATCGTAAAGCTCCTTTGTAGCTCAGGAAAACCCGGGCATCTGTAAACACTGCATACATGTGACAACCCAAACTGTATAGAACCAGAGCAGAGTGCTAAAAAATAGACTGTTTAACAGCAGTGTGTTTGGTAATTGGACCAACCAGTATTTACACACATTTTAATTTCTATGGATGACTCTCACCATTGACATAATACATATTATAAACACCATTTAAACCATATAGATTTTTAGTAAGTATGGCATATACTTCTCTGTAACACTGCAGAATAAATATGAATTAAGAGGTATTTGCAGTTACTAATTGGCCCAAGTCTCTTCATGGCATACACTAAGACAGGATACTGTACCAAGTACAAAAGTCTGAGAGAGGTAACAAAGCAGTGAGATGATGTGTCATAACGGTATATGGGCACCTTGGCCTTGTTTATCCGTTGTACGACCTAATCTGACCCCGATAGCGGGTGAAAGATCAATCAGGAAACAAGCTGCTACAGCACTGTGCGTGTGTTTCAGTATATGCTGGTATGGCTGAAGAAAAACAGGCATACACTGTAAAAAAGCTTCTCCAAAAAACAAAACTCCTTACACAATATGCTTCACAGACAGACCAAGTTGCTGTTAAGGCTTTGTTGTATATGCTTATAAAGTGAGGTTAGAAATAAATGCACCTATAAAGTTGTTACAAAGAGTGACCATACCCTGTAAGTAGATGAACACATTGCTGAGATTTTGGCATGTGAAGTGCTGAGGTTGTATATCACAGTATTTACACAGCGTAACATTGCATGAAGACAAACTGGTTGTTTTTTGTTAAAAATGGCTCTCGTTTGCGTTCGGCGAGCGAGCTCGAGTCACAAAAACAAGCATCCACCTGACGGTCAGTGTTCAGCATCTAGCGGCTGATGACACTTTTGTGTATGTGTGTGTGTGTGTGCGTATAAGTCAGAAAGGGTATTTATTATCTGGGTCACTCTTTCAGGTTAAAACAGAATACATGTTACAGTTTACTGTACCTTGACATACCAACTTAGTGCTTTTAGTTAAAAACGCACTTCAGTGAAAAGTAGACAAGTGAGACACTTGATTGAAAAAGCATCCAACAGGAGTTCAAGCAGTACAAAATGAGGAAAAAGTAAAGAGCTTAATATATACTGTCTAAATGTTTAAAAAGCATAGTATATTTGATATATTTATATATTCCACCTATTTTTTCATCTATTTTACATCATGATTCCACCACCGTCCAGCTGATTTGTATATAATTTTGGCTTTTTAAAAAACTCTCCGAGTAGCATTGCACAGTCACACACTAACATTTGTCTTCACTCATCCTCTTCTGCCAGACTTTTCATTCTGTTCCCACTTTCCTCAGTTAATTTGAAGCAAATATTATCAACAGGTTATTAAGCAAGGCATGACTTTGTCAAAATTTGCATTAATTTACTAAGATCATCCATCCTGACTGCGTAACTGTGAAAATCTCCCTCCATTTTCATCATTCCTGCAGCGCTACAATCCTTTGCTCCTGCAGAGGGACCCATTTCTCACGTATCCAACCCAACCCAGTGCTCCCACTTTCAGAGCCGTGGACAAAAGGCTGTGGGAGCAAACACCCTGGAGGACACAACAGGGGAGTTGAAAACACTCCTTTCCTCCATTTATAAAGGAAGATGAAACACCCCGTGAAAGAGGAGGGAGATTAAGGGATGTCTGCTCCCTCTCCAACTTCTCCTTCAGGCTCCTCAGCTTGGGAGCGGCCTTGCACATCTGAAGGTGTGTGAGCACATCGTAAGCTGCTCCAGTTAGCTTTGTTCTTGTGCAGGTGATCTAGCATTGTTTGGCTGAGCAGGCTGGGCTCAGTGAAGCGGTGCCACTCCTCAAACAAGGGCTCCACAATGTAGGAAATAAAACCTTAAAACACACAGACATCTTCTGTTAGGTACACACGGTACGGCATTCGCGAACAGGGCGAAAAGAAAGCGCGCTCCCTTTTGATTCTAAGTATTTCCGTATTAGTACACAATAAAAGAAAAATCTAGCCATCACCAGGTCTTAAATGTAGGTAAATACAACCTGAGACGAAAAAAAACCATGACATATTACACCGTCATTATTGATTTAACAAAGCTAAGCCAAAATGCAAACGCAGGGTGATTCAGTATCTTATAGAACAACAATAATTTTTTTTCTGTGTGACTTTATCAGTCTGCCACATCACCGTGGGGGAATTTTGGCTCGCTCTTCTTTACAATAGTGCTTTTGGCTATTAAGGTTTGTCGCCATTCATTTATTAAGGTCCTGCCACAGGTCTGGACTTTTACTGGGTAACATCTTAATTTGTTTCTTTTTCAGCCATTCTGTTGTAGATTTGCTGCTGAGCTGGGGATCACTGAAAAGTTGCACGATTCAGTTTTAGCCCAGCTTTAGCTGACTATAGAATTGGTATACAGAGGAGCTCATCGTTGTTTCAGTGACTCCAAGGTGCCCGAGTCCTTTGGCTGGAAAAACAAGCCCAAATCATCACCCCTCCACCTCCTTGCTGATATGAGTGTGCTGTGTTTCATTTTCTCCTGGCAACCCTTCCAAACAAGCCAAACTTGTTTAGTCTTTTTCTGACTGAACTGTCATGAACTTTAACATCTCACATGCTAACTGAGGCCTATAGAGTCTGAGATGTAGCTCTTGGGTTTTTTTTAATAGTTTTCTGTGGAAGCAGTAAAGATATACTTAGCCCTTTGCAAACCGCTTCTTCCTTTTTGGCTTAGTTTTTGTTTAACAATTAATGACACAGTGAAATATTTGATGTTTTGTAGTTGATCAGATAAACTGTATTAACTCTTGATATATAAAACCTTAGAATTAAAGGGGTTGTGCTTTCTTTTTATTGTACACAGAGAGCCCTTATGAAGTGCAGTTGTGTGTCTGTAAGTGCACTCTAGTACTCACCTATCTGAATGGCTGGGACAGAGTCAGACTGTTGGTTGCAGAGAGGACTGATCTCTAGGTCAAACTTCTTCTCCAGGTCACCTGCAGGTTAAATGCCAGAACTCAGAAAACAGATATAAGACATAATGAAGAGAGATACAGATGTTAATCTCTGTTAAAAAACAAAATACTGTGTATAGACTTCAAACACAGTGATGTCTTTATTTGCAAAAATGACATCTCTGCATAACTAGTAGGTAGTGGTGGCTAAATTGAATACATTTATGATAAAACAACACACATTTAATTGATCTCACATTTAGAGATGTCCTATTTCTTTTTCTTTTTTACATCAATATTGAGTTTTGCTTGAATTTTTTAATTGCTTTGCAAGACAGAAAGAGTATTGCTGTTATTAAACAATGAAATGGTATTTTGAAGAAATGCACATTTGGTTTTAACACTGAATATTAGTAAAAGTATGAACTGATCATGTCACTGATCATTTGAGAAAACCTTGACATAAATTGAGATAAGACATCCTCTCACCCTGTCTGTAGAATTCCTCACACACCCGCTCGCTCCACTGCCTGCTTAGCTCCCAAACCCGACATGGATTACAGATATCTGCACACTTGAGTGCAATCTGCAGGTTTGCAGATTGAAAGAAATGCACATATACGGTAAATGTAGAGAAGGTTTTCATTCAAATTCAGCTTATAATGAAGCTGAAGTCACAGGAAGAATTGCTGTGAGAAATGGAGACGGTGCACTATACCTGCAGTATAAAGTGTCTGTGTGAAGCCAGCTGAAGATCCAGGTCCTGGTTGTCCAGATGTTCTCTGAAGGTCATTAGGAACTCATTTTGTCTGTTTATGTCTGTAGCCAGGATGAGAGAGCCCAACCGCTGTTCAATGTCTCGCCTGCAGAAAAGAGGGAAGCGTCACCAAGATGAAACAGCAAAACATAAACTTTCAACTCCACCTGTAACCGAGCAACAACTGTTTTTACAATAACGTCCTACATGGAGAGCTCCTTGGTTGGCGCTCACATACCGAGACTGACCTCTGACCTTCTTGTGAAGGCTCAAAGACTCATGGTGCAAAGAAACAAGAGTAGCAAAAATGCTTTAATTGTATAAAGTAGTACTAGAATACTTCCCTCCAAAAGACTTACATAGTGGACGTGAGGCTCTCAGTCCAAACACAGATGGATTTACATTTTAGAGCCATTATATTGTGCAAGTTAAAGCTTAAGCCTGCATATTGTCCATTTAAACAAATGAAATTTTACAGTAACACTTTCAAATATCCAAATCAGCCTGCTATGCTGTATTCGTGTTTGTGTGTTCTTACGACATGTCAGCAGGCAGGTGGGACAGCAGTCCCGACTCTCGCAGCATGCCCACAGTAGATCTCCAGTGGTGACTCTCCAGCACAGATGTGTTCTAGACAGGACAAATAAAAACCAAACTGTGTTTCAAACAGGCCGAGACACAAGGCCCTTCATCCACACGCTGACATCCATCTGCAAACTGGTGTGTACCTGGTAGAGGGATGCCAGGTGGTGTCTGGTCTTGATGAGGAAGGGCTGGTTGACTCCAGGATGGTCCACGTCATGGGCAGCTGCTGCCATCAGACCCAGGAATATGTCCAGAGGACTCAGATGCTCTGCCAGCTACAACACAGCAATGTTTGTTCTTTACACAGGAGGAAGACTTGGACTCATTTTAAAGAAATTTTAAAGAAAGCTTGTTTGCTTGATTGTGAAAAGACACGTGTTCTTTGGAGAATAATACTAAGTCTGACAAGTGCCCAGTTTTCTTATTACTGCCACTTCTTGGGTCTGTTTTTACAGTTGGTACTTACAAAAGAGGCTGTGTATGAGATTTTAAACATTCATGCAGTGGCATAAAAAAACCAAAAACAAACAGTATCTGCGTGTTTAAGTAGCTACTGGCTACACCAGCTGTAGTTTAGGAGGTAGGGCAGATCATCCACTAATTGGAAGCTCGGTAGTTTGATCTCTGGCTGCTCCAGTCTGCATGCCAAAGTGACACCAATTTTCAGAAAACCAGGCTAAAATATGTATTTTATAAATTCACTCAACTAGAATCATTCAAAAGAGAAGGCAAGAAAGAAAATGCACTTGTTGGCATTGTGGGGGCACACCGTAATATGTTTGTTTTTTAAATATTTTATGTGGGCTGATGACTGTAGCACTTTTAAAAACAGCTTCTCAGACTGTAGATAAAATATGTGTGTGTGCGTCTACATAATGTGAGCGTTTTGGTCTGTGATTCTTGTGCTTTACTCATTCAGTAGATCTGAATGTGGTATAAAGCACCTCTAACTTTCATAGCACAGCCTACAAATATTACCTGCTGGAGAAAACAAATTGTGTATCATGCCATTTAAAGTACTTGCAGTTAAAGCCTAGATGTGTGCCATAGCATGTAATCATAGAATATTGACCTCCAGGCCTGTTCTTATAAAGGAATGTTTGTTGTCTATGACACACTGGTGCGTGTGCTGACTGAATTTCATTCAGGGCTTTTACCGAAATAGAAGCATCACAAAGCACTTCACAGAGCAAAAGAGGACACAAAAGCAATTACTGAAAAAAGGGAAAGATGCAGAGAAGCTTAATCTGGTCAGAGGGCTTTGGAGAGTTCTCAGAGCTATGGATTGATGTGTCGTTGAGTCTAAGTGAGCGGGAATTATCCCAGAGGGAACAAAGCTAATAGAATATGTCAAGGAGAAGCTTAGCCTGGTGAGGTCTTACAGTGTGAGTATGACAGATAGAGAGAGGCAGAGCGCGTGTGTGTGAATACAGTATTATTCATTACCTTGGGCTCCCTTAGGTAGCAGTACATGGCTTGAGTAACATCAGCAGCATGAACAGCATTGTGATAGGGATTTTGGGAGTGGTAGTCCTCCTGCACCATGCCTAGCAAGGAAAAACACAAGGCCAAACCCTGTGAAACACGACTTTCACACCACTGACCTGCACTACTGTTTTGACTGTTTCAATCTCCATTTGATTTTAAGGGTGTTTTCACACCAACAGTTTGTTTACCCTGGTCCAAGGGTGTCACGTCCGGCCTGCGAAACAAATATATGTGCTAGATAGTTTCATATGTCAATTATTAATGGTCTCTTGGTATGTGGGAGCTGAATCCTCATAGCTTGGATCATAGTCACACCATGGTGTGATAACCACATTCACACCTGCACAAGCAAACTGCACCGCGATAGAAAAAGAACCAGAGTTTGATTCAGAAGGAGTGAACACAGCGGGTGATGTGTTTACTCCTTAACAAGTCCTATAAATGGCTAATTAGTTTTATAAAATTCTGATGACTTGAAATGTCTTTACTGCGATCAGTTTACGCACACAAAGTCCAGACAATGTCTGAATCGGGTCAGCTGGCACTGGATATGATCAGTTTAAGACATAATCTCACTACAGAAAATAATAAATACTTGTTTGTTGTGATTTTACCACACTACTTCCTGCATTATCTTTACATTACGCCCAGCACAATCAGACATCACACTGACTTGCACAGTACTAGGAAGCTGGCAGGTGATAGGTAGACAGATAGTATTTTGGCGGGGCATTCAATGTCATTTCCATCGTGCAAAAATTCATTTATACTTGAACCATAGATTGTGTTTCTTTCCTCTGCTGTGTGAAATTACAAAACGATGTTGACTGTGTGCTCTGTTGCCATAACAACACGTAGCTCATTGTTACTCTGCAGTGTCTATGAGGTACCATTTAGCTTGCTATGGTTACTGGGTTAATATTCACTTACTACAGGAATGTGCGGACTATCACTTTGCCCAGATTTGTTGTTAGTGCTCAGAGTCTCTTTTGTAATGATTTACTGGTTGAGTAAAAAGCAATTGGGAGTTTTCCTTCTCAGCTTTCAGTCCTGCCAAAATAACAGTGCAGGCGCACTTCATAGTAAGTAATGTTTCTATGGAGGCAGGAGAAATAATTATGTGTAAGGACAGCAGTGTTTTAAAGCTGAGAAAGAATTCCTTAAGTCGGAAGCTTAAAAAAACTATGAACACTTTATTGCAGCTTACCAAGAAACCTGTTAAGTTTGACCATATCCAGCTGAAAGTGGTGAATGAGATCATAGACATTGAAGAGATGGCACATCAGCGTCACCAGGCTGTTACCTAAAGCACACAACATTGACATTCAAAAGAATTCATATAACTCAGATCAGTAAGTCCACCAAGTTAAAAAAATAAATAAATCACGTTTTACATTTCATATGGAATAACTTTATACAGTGTTTGTGCTGGAAGCATGCATAGAGTGATGGTGGATTGTATCCTGTAGGTGGGGGTCAAAAAAGTTTATGAAAATAACCAATTTAATAATAAATCACCTCACCGTTTGTAAGACGATCGAAGAGGAAAATGTCAAAGTTCCATGTGCCTACTTTTGATAGCATGTGCTAGAAAGAAAGAAAGAAAGAAAGAAAATTGTCAGACTTTATCTGTTGGGAATATGTGTATGGCTTTGACTGCATATGAATATGTCTGTGTGTTTTCTCACAGCAGCTTGTCCCAGGTAGTCATCATCAAGCAAGTGTAAGGACCTGGGGGTGTGAGGAACTAACCCCCTCAGCAACCTAGAGGCGTGGCAGTATCTCTGGAAGCTCAGGAGACGCTTCACCTTTCTCCTGGTGACGGTCTCTACCTCCCCCTGTTGGGCACTGGCTTAAATTACAAAAAGAAAGAAAATGCATGTTGTGTGAATAGCTGAAACACGTTTTCTACACAAATGGGTGACCTACAGGATTTAAATGGTATGTTGTTCTGTCACAGAAACCAAGAAGAGAAATATTTTAGGTAAAACCCCATCATTACAAAGGGTGGGAATTTCAAAAATAATTTATTCACCAGGAGGTATTTGCCTACTCTTTGAAAATCCCCTCTTCCACCCCTGCTCAAATGACTGTGCATAGTTGTGGTAGACTTGTGATATGAGTTTGCACTGAACCTCCTTCATGAAAGCTGTGGTTGTCTCTGGCTTTGCATGTTTCTCCTGTTTATACAGTAGCATCTAATTTCACAGTGGCACACATGTTTTACTGCTTTGTTTTTTTTCTTCTTGTTATTGTTTCATCATGCTCAGTAAACTGCTTACAGGCACATTGCTGCCACCATCTGGCAGTAGTAGCCTATCACATCCAACCTGATGCCAGTAAAACAAGAGAAATATATACCGGTATATGTTAAAATCAGAAGCACTCATAAAAACTGTTTGTTTGTTTTTACCATGTGTTGTTAGTCATTAAATGTATTTATAGCTGAAATAAACAGCTTAGTAAAAAGCCAAAAAAAAGGGAGGGGGGAATGTCAGACAGTCTTTTCTAGAAGGCCTTTGTGGTTTACAAGGATAGTATTTTGTAATTGTTATGTAACAAGAAAAAAAAACTAAGAAATTTGAGCACTTTCTTAGGTTGACACGACTAACACTGCTTCACACTGATGTACAGTTAGGTAACTGTTTTGAACAAAGAGACTGCTTGGCCTCTGTGAACAACATCAGTGGATTTTAAATCAAAGAAAGAAAAAATAGATGTGATTAAAGTGCAGACTTTCTGCTTTAAGATAAGGGGGTTAAAAAAAATTGTGCATTAATTGTTTATGACTTACAGCCACTCTTTAACACAGTTAAAGAGGGGTCAAAAATAATTTAATTCAATTCAATTCAATTTTATTTATACAGCACCAAATCACAACAACAGTCGCCTCAAGGTGCTTTATATTGTAAGGTAGACCCTACAATAATACATAACAATTGACTGACAAGCAGTTTCATGGACAGATGAGGCCTGTTCCCAAATGATACAGACAATATCTGGAGATGATTCAAAGAGATCAGGGTAAGTGAGAGAGCCAACATTAGGCTGATAAAACAAACTTATCACAGAAGGAGCAAAAACTTTAGGAGTGGCTAAATCTACAATCTGGTACATTCTTAAAACGAAGGAATACCAGTTAAGTAACACTCGAAGACCTGAAAGACCACAGAAGACAGTTAAAGTGGATGACGATACAATCATTTACATGGTTCAGAAAAACAACTTTACAACATCTAACCAAGTCATGAACACACCTCTGGAGGAGGTGTATCATTGTTCACAACAAGGTGCAAATCACTGGTAAACACTCAAGAACAACAAGGCAAGATTAGACTGTTTACGACAATATTTTTTCATCGTTCTGATGGTCACTGTAGTGGCTATATTAATTTCTTAAAGTTCTCTCTTTCTCTTATATGTAATATAACCACACTACTGACGGACAAGCGCCTGTTTTTATGCGTTGTGGTTAGCAACAACGACGGTAACACCTTCGCGTGTCCGCTTGTTTATGTTCCACATAAACTTTTCACAATAAAGCTCAAGATCCTGTTGAGACTTTTCAAAATAAACAGAATCACGTGAAAGAGCAGATTATTTACGGATGAGAAGTAAAAAAACAGCCGCCAGGTGCTAAAAAATAAACCTTAGACTCAAACGTTAGAACAGGCAACCCGCAGCACGCCGTGTAATAAATACAACTTATGTCTAAAAATATATAGTTTCATGCATCGGTTAAAACCCTCGACTCAGGGTGAAGGACGCGCAGCTGGAAACACTTCACGCAAGTCGAGCTGCCTGAGATTCACAGAATTTACAGGAAATGTAAAATTTTTGTGATTTATAACGTTATCGGGAAAATAGAATTCTTATTTCGGGATATGAGATTTTGGTCATATCGCACAGCCCTACCTCAAAGAGTTTTCACAGTTCGGAAAAGAAAAAAGAATCTGACAGGTGAAACCTTGCACCAGAATGATGGGAAGAGAAAAGTATGGAGAAGGAGAGGAACAGCTCATGATCCGGAGCATACCACATCATCTGTCAAACATGGTGGAGGTAATGTTATGGCATAGGCATGTATGGCTGGATGGTGTTTATTGATGATGTGACTGCATGATAGAAGCAGCAGGATGAATTGTGAAGTGTACAAGGCTACACTCTCTGCTCAGAATAAGCCAAATGTTGCATAACTGATCAGACAGAGCTTCACAGTGCAACCAGATCATGACCCAAAGCAAACTCCAAAAACAACCCAAGAGTTTCTCAAGGCAGCAAAATAAGATACTCTTCAATGGCCAAGTCAGTCACCTGATCTCAACACAACAGAGAGGCTTTTCAGTTACTAAATACAAACCTGAAGGCAGAAAAACCCGGAAACAAGCAGCAACTGAAGGTGGCTGCATTAAAAGCCCGGAAGAGCATCTCAAGTGATGAAACACAGTATCTGATGATGCTCATGGGTTCTACACTTCAGGCAGTCATGGGCTGATTTTCACCCAAGTATTAAAAACAATCCTTATATTGTGTGTGATTTGCAAACAAAGTTTTAATTAATTTACATTTGTTAAACCCTTTGAATGAAAACTGAAAGTTTGCCCTTCAATTAAATCTTGACTGTTTGACTTAAATTTCACTGTTGTACCTTTTAGTAGGTGTTAATATTAGACTGAAATACAGAAACAATCAAATACAGTTTATTGTTGTTCCAAGAAAATTTCATTTTCCAAGAAGTATAAAGGAGAATAGTTTTTTACATGTATTTTTTTTTTTTTTAAATGAGGAGACTTACTTTTTAAAATTCGCAGATCAATCAATGGGTAAGAGCCTCGTCTCTCAGCCAGCAGCACACCAGCATGACCAGTGTTCAGCCTGCCATCAGCTAGATGGAGAGAAGAAAGAAAGACAGAGGGGGTGTAACCGAGAAACATGAATAAAGAAAGAAAGATTTGGGATTATATTTTTGTGGTGGCTTTTAGTGGCACACATACCCCATGAATAATAAGTCAACGTTTCAAGAGGAAGCGCGGAGACGGAATGAGAGCAAACAAGGGGCTGACGGCAATGGCAATTTTATTTATATAAGACATTTCATTGTAAGTACACTCAATGTGCTTAGCAGAGATGATACAAACAAAAACCTGTGTGGGTTTACAATGCCTCAAAGCAGTGAAAACAGCAAAATAAAACTTTACAAAGAACAAAAAACAGAGCAGCCAGAAGGGTTTTGGGAACAGTGTTGTACTTAAAGTAGATAGTCAAGATAATCAGCCTCATGGATTCAGATTCAGATCAGCCCCCGTGAAACAAGAGGATCCTTGATGACACAGAAGAACCAGGACATCATGCATCTCATCCGGGTTTGCCAGAGGAAAATGGATTTCATGCCACCTTCCAGCTGTAATGGATCACACTAACACTTTGCCTTTATCAGATTGTTATTGCCTAAACTTTGTGTGTGTGTCTGTGTGTGTGTGTAGCTGAAACTGATGGTTTCAATTGGTTTTAATCTGAATCAAATGTCAGGTTTGTCTTACAACCAGAGATTAATTGAAAGACCTGAACTTTTTTCTTTTCTATTATAAAAAAATTGATTTCTTTGAAGAGCCGGAGTCTTGTTTTTGTTCCTTCTCTGAAAAGTTTTGTTTTATCAGCCTAATGTCTTGATTTCCACTGTTTACACAGCTGACAAATGTTTTCTGGGGAACATATTGATAAATGCCAATGGATTTCAAACAGCAAATTTTCTCCTGAAAGGAATCGAGTGTTTCAGCAAACTGTGTGAACGCTCATCCACAGTCTTGAATAGCCTGAGAGGTCCCCTTCTGGGTTTTCCTTGTGGTTCGAGCATCTATCTGATGGAGAAGGAGCACAAAAGCTAAACAGAGACTCCTAATACTTCCTCTGTTTAGCACTTTGCAATTCACACACTCTGAGGCCAGAGAGGAGACACAAAAGAACTAGGTCCTAAGTCACAGCCAACATGCACACAGATAAAATTTGCACTTGAATAAGCTATGGGTATACTGAATAATTTACACGTCAGTTGTGGGGAACTGGAGCGTATTATATCCCTAAGGTTGCCAAATCACATCACCTCTTTGAGTCTTGCTTAGGAGATGCTAAAAGCAACTGAACTACCTGTTAATGGGGTTTGAGTCACTGTGGTAACGCCCTCGAGTTGCCAGATCTTGCTATGCAAGTTTAAGCTGCCAAAGCGTTGGAGTTTGCAGGTAGATGTTGTGTTTGCATGTGTGTGTGTATGTGTGCTTTGCAGGAAAAAACATATGGCACAAATGTTATAAATCCTGATTTATACATGTAAAAAAAACAAAAACAAGTGCAGCGGGGAAGTGACTCAGCCTGCTAAAGAAGGCAGAGGGGTCCCACTGGCCTAGTTTTTGCAATAAAAGGAGAATAAGGGGAAGGCCTCTTTGCTCTTAATCCTGTGTTCTGATGCGCGAGGAGAGGAGGAAATACATCTTCTGGAAAAACACCGCAGTCACAGATCATCCTCCTTCTAACTCAGACAAACACAATCACACCAATTCCACCCCCACCTCTCTCTCCCTCTATTCAAGCTGCAGTATTTTTCATTCACATCATTCCAAGTTTTCATTTTCTTCCCTAATTTTTGGCATCTTTTTGCACATCCTCCTCCCTCTCCATTAGTGCCCTCATCCTTCGTTCCCGTTCAACAACTACACCCCATCCCTTCTCAATATGAGCCATCATTTCCATCACCACCTGCTCCTCTTCTCCATCCCTCTTTCTCTCTCTCTCTTCCTTTAACTCCGTGTGGTAAAATAGGTCATTGATTCCACTATGCGCAAAACTGGGTCATTTCAGATGAAAACGTGAATCAGTCGGGAGGTGTTTTATTAAAGAAGCGGCGACGCACATGCGCCTCGTCACGCAAACCATGCTGTTGTGCACATGCACGCTTGTAAATGAGGTTAAATCCCTGATTCCAAATACAAAAACAAGATGGCACAATTGCCACATAGCGCCCACTCACGCGAGCAGACACAGGGGAACTGACAGGAATACATTCACTTGGCTTCCATGAATCTGTGGGTGTTTGTGGCACAAACTGTACTTTGGGGCTGTTCTGAAATTTTAACACATGCATTGCTGTCATATGCAGTGCCAGCATATGACAGCAACCCCCCCCCCCCCCCCAAAAAAAGCAAAACAAAAAACAACAACAACAAAAGGAAAAACACATTTTAAACACAAAGGGGGAGATGATGTTTTCTTCCACCAACAGCTGCTGCTTTATCTGGATACACAGATAAATACAGTAAACACACTGACCAGATACAGTAAAAACCCACTGGTAATGCTACCATTCTTTTATTTTTTTTATGAGTATGTGCACTTCTACTTCATTGTCTTGCTAAGACTGACATCCAAAACCACAGGATGAAAGTTTATTGTGTTTTTTAAAAACTATCCATCTGTGCTTTGTGACGCTTTCTTTAAGCCCTTGCTACAGTAAATGTCACAATGACTCACAATCACCACTGACAACTTATCAGCAGTGTCTCCACACATTTGTATGTGCTGATATCAAACAGTGCGCAGACAGCCATTCGCCCTCATTAAGAAATCGTCGCATGTATGAGGTCATCACAGGGAAAGTCACCGACAGAAAACAGTATTTCTCCATTTCCCCCTTGCTTGAGTCAGCAAAGGTAATTCCCCACATTATGAATCATCGATTCATTATTAAAAATCCACGCTGTTCCAATTTTAATCATCAGATTATTATAAAAATATTTTCCAGTTGCCGTCAGACTTCAAACCTATTAATTTTCCTTAAAAGGTTAAGTCTCACTAAACACTGATAAGACAAACTGAAGGTATCGTAGAAGAAGCCCGAGATCGAGCCGAAAACACTTCTAAATGTCAAAAATAAATATTCAATAAATACTCAGTCAACGTAAGTTTTTGGAATCACATCCTATGTGATAATGATGCTATGCAACTGATGCTGTGCAACTTTCCAATGCTTTATTACTGTGATTGTTAAATATAAAACACATTGTCCTTATTTGCGGTTGATGCTGAACTTCGTTAGTAAGAGACATAGGCTTGATTGATGATGTCACACGGACAGCTGCAGCTCACAGATGGTAACACAGCTTTATTTAATGGACCCTCTGGCTTTACAGCCCAAATCCCTCATTTCACTGTCTACTCTGCTCAGCTGTCTGAACTATTCTGAACCGCATTTCGACCTGCGTGGCGTACGACCACACGCGCATGTAAGCATACGGCCCGAGGAGTGCTTGTCAGAGACAATCTGTCAAATCTGTCTTGTTAACAGTGAAAACATGGCACGGACTCAGAAGCTCAATATTTAAATAAAAAAAATGAAATGCATTTGCAAAACCACAAAAAAACAAGACCTTAAACTAATTTCAGTGCTAATGGGTGAAACTGAGACGTATGAAATTTGTCTCTCTCAAACTTGGACGCATTACCTTCCACACGTGCACTCCTGTTTTCTGTGTCCAGCTTTATCTCTTCTTCCTGCTCCTTTCCTGATTCCACCCAAGGACTTGCTTGATTTCTCTCTGGCCCCTGAGAGCCTCCCTTGCGTGCTCTCCACGCTGCTCTGAGTTGCCGTATAAGAGCTGGTAGCTCCAGGGCTAGGGAGAGGCCACCACATGTAACAGGAGGAGTCCTGAGGGGACCCCAAACTGGAGAATCAGGAGGCTCCTCTGGACAGACCCCAACATCAAGACCGGTGTCCCGCATCCTGAGATCTGGGCCCCAGAGTCCCTCTAGGACAGGCATTTTGATACCACGCAGGGATAGAAGGATGGATGACAGGTGCACCAAAAAATATCAAACTCAAACAGAGGCTGAAACAGAGGAGAGGGTGAGAAAATATGGTGGTGTTGACAAAGAAAGAGGGAGAAGAAGAGGGAAGGCAGAAGGAGAAGCTCACTGTCAGGTAGCCATGGGTGAGGATGAAGGAGTTGTCTAGATGTAGGACAGTGTAAGAGAGACTGCAGGGAGACACGGTATCAGTAAAAGGAAAGTCAGTCGAACAGAAAGAATGAGAGCATAGAGGTGAGGAGTGACAAAAAAGAAACAAAAAGTGAGGTGCCGTGAAAAGCCAAAAAACAAGAGAAGAGAATCGTTGCGTATCCCTCTGTCCCAGAGCCACTGACAGTCTGGTTCTTCCTTCTGCCGCATTCTCTCTTCCCTCTTCAATCTCACTCGCGCCAACCTTGTTGTGGAGTCTAAAAGCCCCTCCTTCCCCCTCTCTAAGCTCGCTCACACACCGTCTCTCTCTGCCTACTAGCCCAATAACAGACCAATAGGATTGTGGGAAACACCGTCGAGCTTCGGTTCACAGCTTCTGTCACATGGTGAGAATAGTGAGACCAAAGCTGTTTGAGGTGAATTTAGGATATATACACAGACGCATCAGTCCCCCGAATTCATTTTCACAACAACGGTAGTTCAAAACATTAAGTCTATTTTTTACAAATTTAGCATTTAAAGGCAGACAAGACTATAAGAACTCACTACAGGCCTACAGTTTTTTTCAATTATATGCATCATTGTTGGATGGAAACAATAGAAAATACTACTAATATTAAATAATGTCCATTCAACTTCCAATGCATCAAATTACTTAAAAAAAAATTAAAGCAAAGAGAGATATTGAAAATTACAATAACATAAATAGAGGTAGTAAACTCAACCAGACGGTGGACATCAGTGGTGAAGTGAGCCATTAGGCTGGAGAAGCAATCCTATTGGGCTTGGTTAGCTTGTGGGTGTCTGAAGGCAGCTCGTAGGTACTTGCAGGCCAAGTGTGGCTCTGGTAGTAGTTGAAGCAAAAACTCAGGAGCGGAGATCTTTGGTGAGCACGACTTTTGATCAGCCTTGAAGAAATTCGGACAAAATGCGAGGTGATGTCAACTTAGGCTATAGTCAGGATGTGGAAGGAATAATTTTAGGATTTCTTCAATCCCACTGACATAGCTTCTATAAAGGAAGCAAAATTAGGGGGACGAGGGGGCACTGAGGTCACTCACGGTACCAAAGAGGAGTCCATCTGTTAGCTAAACCTCAGATCCAGGAGAAACCATGCAGTGTTTGTCGTGGCCATGGAACGCTGGACCAACTTTTTAGCTTATGCTTATGCAGTAATTTTTGTGTCATTTTACAAGGTTCAGTCTCCAGAGTGGGAGATCTTTCTTTAAATCATCAACTCTGACATTAAAAACTTTTTAAAATTATTTATTTATTTACTTTGGGAAAACTTAAGAAGTTGGGATGGGATTTGTATGGCACAGGACTTGGTGCTAATAAATATTTAAACACAGAACAGAGGGAAGTTGTCACTGATTACTTTGGCAGAATATTGACTAATGGTGTTACCACAAAGAGCAAGCCACCTATCACTGCAGCCTATTACATATTGCATTTTCTAATCAGCACACTGTATTGACAGTGAATATTACAACTAAGTGGACAGATCACCTGAAAGAGTTTGCAATCTGCGTCATCAGCATATCAGGAGCTATTTTAAGATTCCCACCTCTACGGGCGCATAGTTTATTTAACTCTTATGCATACAAGCTCTTTTTTTACTAATGCCCTGTTCCCAGGTGCACTGACTCAGTAACAATGCCACAGGAGCAGGATTCAACAGAATACAATTATAAACTTCTTCTGCTCGGGGGTAAAACGAGGTGCATGCTGTGAGTCACCATTCATTAAGGCCTCACTGGCACAGGAACACTTGGGTGGATTTGCTGTGATTTATTGGCTCTGAATTCTTCAGTATAGGTGACTAACCAGCCCTGGGCCAAAACACAGCAAGGGTTTTTGAGAGTGGCAGAAGAAGATTTGAGAAAAAAAACAAACAACCCAAACCCCTTTAAATTCTTAGAAGATTTTCATGTTTTAGAAATGTTAAAAGAAAATGGTCAGTTTTCAAAATTAAAATGAAGTAATTTTTAAATCCGCTAGCTAATGTCCCTAAACTAAAGCTAACTCTCTGCAATCCTCTGTTCGATCAATTCTACCTTAAGCCTAATTCATTCTTTTATCTCATACAACCATTATGCATCATGCAACTGTGTCCCTTCTCTAGCCTAATTGATTTTATTGGCCCAATTGTAGCAGAGACTTGTACTTCAAGACAAGTTCAAACCTCTCTGTTTTATGTCTTTTCAACCATTAAAGACCTGGATTTCCACTGCAAATTGCTTGTGCTGGACCTAAAAAGCTGGCAATGGCAAAACTGCAGAAACACTGTTGTCATTGCCTTTGGAAAGACTTATTACATGAAATTCACTGATGACTCACAAATGCAGCCTATAAATTCTGCCTGTCACGACTTTCTTTTACTAAATAACAGAATATTCAGTTCTCAAACCCACTGAAATGTAGTCTGGTTCTCATAAGGAACCAAGGCTGATGAAGCTCCTCAGCATTGAAGCCCAACACTGAGCATCCTTGATAAATGAGATCACAAGGTTGCTGGTTATCAGTTGTCTCTGTTAACGCTGAGTTTATCCATCCAGCTTTTCAGAACCATAACAGTGAGATAAAAATGTGATAAAAGCAGAAAACTAGATCATAATGACAGCTAAAATTGATGTAGATATTGTTGTTAGTATTTTAGTGTGACTAGCTCCCTAAGATGTTAGAAGCTCTGTTTCTGCAGGAAAAATGAACTTTCACATGGAAGTATCTGTTATTTGTTATCACCTGCTACATTACTGAAAATATATGTATTTCTGTGGCTGCTGAAATCTATTAATCTGAATGAATTTCAGTGAATGTAAGCCAGTTAGATATAGCATGTGCTCCTCTTTACATGCACTTCATTTGGAGGATGCAGTACTAACAGTTTTGGTTTTTCCAGTGGAATTGTTTCCTTGAGAAACGGTCACATGCAGACAAAAGTTTCAACACCCTCGCACTCACCCTCACACACACATGACAGGAACATAGCCTTGAACGCCACGTATCACTTGCAGGGAGTTCGTTCTAAGAAATCACGAGACAAAGAGCATTAAGATAAAAGATACACTACTGTGAGAAACTGTGTGAAGCAGGCAGTGAGAGTAAATGCAGAACAGAGTAATTCATTGAAAATGTATCATTGCTATGTGCTGAGAATATAGTTGTTTCATTGTAGCTTAGATCAGCATTTGGTATTTTGTGTAAAATGTATTTTCTTGTTGGCTGTATTTGTAGTATTTCTCTGTGCTTGCACCAAGAATCTTACTATATTCACATCAGAAACAAATTTCCCCTTAAACATGGAATATTATTATGCTTAGACTAGTGACAGCCATTTTCAGAGGATTGAACCCATGGACTGTCTATATGTTCACATCATTCATTCATGCAACGGCCTTAAGGAAAATTCTGCAATTTTGGCAAATATGAAATGTGATTACCTGGACTTTATCATAACCTGATTATATCTGAGTATTCAAAGGTCAAGGTCACAGTGACCTTATGTGCATTCCATCCTTGTGGAAAATGATACATTTACATTACATCTGGCATAAATGTCTGTCTTGCTGCCATAAACATTGCACTATTGAATTAATATTTAATTAAGCTTGAATTAATTTTTAATTAAAGGTTACCTTGTACCAGATAAGAAAATCTGTGCCGTGGGTTACTCTTTTTAGCTTGGTTGATTGGAACACTAAATCTCTGTAGCCTAAGGAGAACAGTAAAAATGCCTCTTTTATTTAAAACCACCAGCAAATAAAAACATATCTGTGTCTTATAACTCTCTGTTCAAGTCTGAGGTGTTCCTTTAAGGCAGAATGCTATATCAACATTAATAACACATACTTAAGATTTCATTCAACTCAAATTTTAACATTTGAAATCATTTGTAATCCGTACAGTGAATTTTAACCAGTTGCTCACTCTCTACATATGGCTTTCGTCTGCATCATTGTAATGCATTTCCAGATCTCTGCACGACATGTTAACAGGGGGTAAACAGTGCCGTGGTTTAACCAATCATTATCTATCAGATAGACACAACATGTGCACATATAAAAAATAAAATAAGGGGAAAAAAGATGTGAACAGTGTACGTTTTGTAGGTTTTCTAATAAAGATCACTTTATATGGCTGGAAACCACTGACTCTCTGTCCTTTAGATTTTTGAAGGAGACTTGAAGACTGGGTCTTTCTTTAATTTAATATGATTTCTTTTCAAGCCTGCACTCATTGAAACTGCAGTGTCCCCCACATGTTGTCATGTCCCACCCACAGACTTAAAAAAAAAGAATAGCTGATCACACTACAGTCACACGCTCAGAGCAGCATGCAATAATCGACGAACGTCTCCTACATTTTCTGAGAAAGACAAAGATAAAATCTTCTCTAAATGATTTTACTGATCTCAGGCAAACTACTGAAACAAACAGCGACCTATAAAGATATCAGTGCAATTCCAATTTCAAATGTTTTCAAGCATTTCTCCGTAAAACTCAAGCATTGTCAAGGATTTCCCGCACAAACCATGTGAAACTAAAGGGGGTCAAAGTCAGAGCTGTGAACAAAAATCAGCTCGCCTGACTCACTGACTTCTTTCAGGTGTCTTATTTTCTTTAATGGGAACCCCTTCCTAATTTTGAGTTTCCGTTTCCCAAAGAGTACTCTCATCACAGTGTCTGTCTTCTGCCTAGTTATAGCCTGCAGTCATTAAACTAGCCTGTACCCATTACCTATCATTTAGATAGATAAATTGATAGATATAAGGATATATGTATTTTAAAAATGTTAAATAACACAGTGAGTCTTAACAGTGAAAGTGTCTCATATAGTAGCTTTCAAGAAATAGTGCTGGTTGTGTTTTTATAACAGCTACAATGACATTCATGGTGTAAGGGGTTAAACGACATCAGCATTTGTATTTTTAGACACACTGTTGTGGCTACACTTCATCGTCTCATCCCCAAGGTCTAAGACTGTAGTTATGATTAACAGCTATATCTCCTCTCAAGATAAAGCCTTTGAAAACATGGCCTAAGCAGGCTAAGTCCTGCATATGTAGGACTTTTCCAGATTAAAAACACATTGTGTATTGAAACCCACAGAGCTGAACAATGTAGACAGTTTACAGAGATAGCGGAAATATGCATCCCTGTTTGACATAGAGATTATTCTCGGCCAAAGGTCAGTGAAAGCCTGAAACCAAATATCTGAAAACACTATCTTCTACCAGACTACAGCTGACTACATATGCTGTATTTACAGCATACGTAGCACATTGATGGAATCGGGTCAATGATCATTCTTACCCAGCATGCGAACCTGTATGGCATTCTGCTCCCAACTTTTGAAGGCTACAGCTCCACACCTCTGTGACAGAGAGGAATAGGGAAAAGGGGAAAGGGAAGGAAAGGCTGACATTAATATTACAAAGGCCAAAAATATGCACACTGCTATCAATGAACTGTGTTTAGTGAAAAAGGAAACTGTGCTAAAAGCCGCAGTGACCCTACGTGTGAAGCCACAGACGGTTTTCACACTTGTGTGCCACCCCTGCACTCTTTTCCCACAAGCCCTCACTTAAAAGTAAGAGAAATTCTAAATGAACAGTTATAAATGGAAATTGAATTTAAACTAAAAACGAACTAAAGATGATCTATCTATCCAACCATAGCAAATAGCAAATATTTCAGGAGATTTTGGTCTATTTTCATCACATCAGGACACTTCCTGTGTTGGGTGCTTTGTCAAACTGAAAAAGTAATTTGGGGAAGGAAGAAGGGTATTTATTTAAAGATTATTATTCATCACAGTGAGTAAGAGAGGGTAGGGGCAATCAGTGACACTGGCATCTGTGCTTCCAGTAGAGACATATCTGTGTTTTGGCCAAGAATGCTAAAAAGTGGGTCAGGCGGCATACTGGCATACACTGGCAATGATTTGCGCATTGATCACATGCTTCCACATGGTTGGCCCTCACAGCCAGGGGTCTTTAGTCATCTTTTTTAGTCATTTTCTATCAAAGGTGTACTTGTCTCTAATTTAAATCACATGTTTTTTTGTTTGTTTGTTTGTTTCTTTAATAGTGAAAGATGGAGCAGATAAGACTCACAGTACTGTTCTTCTCAACTCCCACCCTCCAATACCTGATACTATTACACTGTTACTATCGTTATTGGTATAACGGCAAGT